AAACATATTTATATTCGCTGTATATATATATATTCTAGGAATAGTATCTGCCTACTATACTGCATTAAACCAAGTACAACTATACTGTATATATTCTAGTAATAGTATCTGCCTACTATACTGCATTAAACCAAGTACAACTATACTGTATATATTCTAGGAATAGTATCTGCCTACTATGCTGCATTAAACCAAGTACAAATGTACTGTCTATATTCTAAGGTGAAATTTTAATCAATTGGCGCATCCTGAAAAAAATTTTAAGAATTTTTTAAAAACTATTTTTGAAAATTTTGCAAAATTTTGCAACTTTCTGGCGACCTTGCATCTCTGTACCAAAAGTGACCCTAAAAATGAACACCCCTACTAGATAGCTTAAACACATTTTGGGGGAAATAAATTTTGTTTATAAAATCTCCTCCCCCCTCTTCTACTTTTGATGGTACCTTATGGTTTTGTGGTCGTGTACCCTGACATCTCTGTTGTAAGTTCTTATAGCAATACCATCTGTAAGGGAAATTAAAGGTTCCACACTCACTGCATACCCAGCTTTCATCTTCTATTAAAGAATTGATGATAGATAGATAGATTCATATACTTCGTTTAAAGTCACAAGTAATATATAATTTAAATTTTAAGGGCCTGTTCCCCTATTTGGGTAATTTGAGGGTAAACTTAATGGCCTAGCTGTTCATTGGTATTAGTCTAACTTTTCTAAGATAACTGTGGCCGGAGAAAAAGTCGATTTCTCAATTAGAATTCCAGGCCAAAGGTAGGATACCTTTGCATTTACACTATTTGATACTTTTTGTCACTGTCATGAATTAAAAAAATTGTCAAACATAAAATCAAACTGTAGTATCTAATAGTTATTTGTAAATATTTTAAATTTTTTTCAAAGTTAATTTTCTATTTTTAAAATATAAATTATTTTTAAAATTTGACGAATTGAATTTCCCTACTTCCCCAGGAATCCCCGAGTTGAAATCTAGGAACCGGTTTGACAGAGAGAAGGTCGTCTTTGTATAAACATGTTAAATCATGTTTGAACATGAAAAACGATAATTCTTGCTAATTCTAAAATAAAAAGTTTTCATATTTTTCATATAATGGCTAACGCATGATGTCATTGAAATATGAAAATTTTAGATTTTATTTGGATGTTGTTACTTAAAACTTTAAATAGTGACTGACTATGCAATAAGGTGTCCTATTGTGCACCCTAAAACCTAAAAGTTGTTTCTTTTGATGTCAGTTTTCAGAGGGAACATTTTTTTGAGCTAGGTTGATGGTAAGTGCTCATGCAAGCCTCGTGTATTTTCAGATTTTATAAAGCCCAACTCGTGCGATATGCGCGTAGTTTGATTTTTTTTTTCTTCACAAAAGTTACAGGTATTTTTTTCAATAAATTTTTTATTCAACTCTGATGCATTTGGACGTTTAAATTTTTAAAGTCGGTTGATAGATGAAGATTTGAGATAGACATTTGATCAAAGAACCTGCACTACCAAATCTAGGATATTTAAACCATTTTAAAATCAGAAAAAAATCACCATAATGAACATATTCACATTGATCATAATATCATACATATTATTTGTAAGGGGGGAGGGTATTTACCAATGGCGAATAAAAGGGTAGGGGCTAGGGGGCAGTGCGTCCCCCAAGATCTGTAAAGGCCCCCCCCCCCCCTAGAACTCAGAGCTATCACCCTTTTTAAATCTTAAATTTTAATTGATTAAAAATTGAAATATCCTAGATTTGGTAGTGCAGTAATCAAATATCTATCTCAAATCTTCATCTATCAACAGACTATAGAAATTTAAACATCTTAATCCATCAGAATTGAATAAGAAATTTATTGCAAATAATAACTGCAACTTCTGTGAAGAGATTTTAAAAATTCAAACTACGCGCATATTACACGAGTTGGGCCTAAAATCTGAAAATACACGAGGCAAAGGTATCAGACCATTGCGCTGGAATTCTAAGCGATAAATCGGCCACAGTTGAAAAGTAAGACTAATACCAATTAATAACTGCTATTTAGTTTACCTATTTACCCATTTAGTTAACCCATTTACCCATTTAAGTGAACGGTCGCTTTAAATGATTATTAATGACTTATAAAAATAGATATTTTGGTTCTGGAAATAATTGAAAATATTTTATAATATTTCTAAGCTTTCTTTGACTTATGAAATTCCGTAAATACAGTTTAGCCCCTGGAAAGAATAAGATATTCTTAAAATCAAATATAGAGAGAATCAAATATGCATTATTACACTCAATTTAACCATATACAAAACATGCTTTGTTTTTTGTTTGTAACCAATAAACATGAAAACTTAAAACTGCTGAACCGATCTGGCCGAAGTTTTTTTGTGGGACCTCAAATGATCCAGGTAAAGGTTTAAGGATAGACAGAATTACAGAAATTGATAAATCCGCAAAACATGTTCCGTTATTGTTTGATAATTTAAGAAAAGAAGAGAAAACGCCGTAGATAAAGCAAAGATTAAAGGTTAAAATCCAAAATGGGAGCAAAGCGCCCAGAAAGCCAAGTATATCATATTAGAAAAGCCACAAAAAGCAAATTGTTCTATAGAGGTCAATGTTAAATTTTTGGAACGCCGGGCAAAAGAAAATTTAACCAACAAACTACCTTTCTCTCCGCGTTGTTTCAAATTGCTTAACTCTAACTTTAAATCCGGTAAATTTGCTTTACAAGATTGATTGCTTCGATCCTCTTCCTTCATTTGTTCTTCAGAAGATCGGTTTCGTCGATCTTTTTTTTTTCTTTCTCTTGAATCTGACATTCTACTTTCGTTAGAATGCCTTCTTTGTTTAAATTCGCTTCTTTCTTCACTGCGTTCTTTACTTCGTTTCTCCATCTTTCGTCTTTCACTAGATTTTCTTTTTTGTGAATTTTCACTCTCGTCTTTTTTTCCATTTTCACATGAATTTCTTCTCTTCTTAAATTCAATTTTTTCATAATAGCTTTCTTTTTCTTTTAATTCCGAGAGAGACCTTACTGAAATATTAGAGATAGAAGAATTACACTCTTGTTTTGATGAGCTTGGCTCTTGAATAGAAGATTCACTAGTCATCTTTGGAGTGGGAAGGTTTTTGTTCGCTGAGCAGGAATCGTTTTCCATCTCAAAAGAACAAGATTTAAAGAAATTATTTGAAGATTTAGGAAACCATGTGGAGGATGGCTCCAACTGTTCATCTTCCACTGGATAACCATACTTTATCAAACCTGGAATAAATAAGAATAAGAATCAGAACATGCAAAATAAACAAGAACAAAAATTCTGCACAAATCTCAAATTAGAAACTAATAAAACTTTCTTTGTCACTTAATTTAGTTTAAGCAAAATACAATAAAAATTTAACGAAATTTTTGCCGCTTTTTGTCCTTGATGTGTTCTGTAGATCTAACCACTTCTACAGAGATGTGACTGAGTAAAAAAAAGCATTCTGACTCTAACCTGTCTTTGTAAGGCAAGATTTTGAAACTCTGCATCCAAGATTTGTTTCTAGTATGGCCTTGTACATGCTGTGCCCACTCTCAAACTCAATGTAGACAGTGTCAAACCCTGAAATCAATCTATCTGGTAATCAATCATCAATGAATAAATCAATCAATAAATCAGCCAATCAATAAACCAATCCGTCAATCAATAAATCAATCTGCCAATCAATAAACCAATCCGTCAATCAATAAATCAATCTGCCAATCAATAAATCAATCCGTCAATCAATATATCAATCTGCCAATCAATAATTCAATCTGCCAATCAATAAATCAATCTGCCAATCAATAAATCAATCTAACAATAAATCAATCAAACAATTAATCAATCCAACAGTGAATTAATCTAACAATAAACCAATCTAACAGTAAATCAATCTTACAATCATTAACCGTTCTAACAATCAATAAATCAATCTCAAAATCAATAAACCAATCTAAATATCAATTAATCTTACAATCAATAAACCAATCTAATAATCACTTAATCTAACAATCTAACAATCAATTCACCTAACATCAATTAATATAACAATCAACTAATCTAACAATAAGTTTAACAATTAATTAATCTAAAAATCAATCAAACAATCAACCAATCTAATCGCCAATTAATGAATTAGAAAATCAGGCTTTTGCGCAATAAATCAATCGTTGATCATTCTTTTATGTTGGTCGGAATTAAAACTATAGACAATCAATCAATCGACGATCAGTCTACAAAAAAAGATCTATAAAATCAATCGATAAAATTTAAATGAAGGACCGTATAAAATTTGATTTGTTGAATTAATAACTTGCTTAATATAAAAAAATAAATCGAACAATCAAATCAACTAATTAACCCAACAACTATTTTATCAGGGACCAAAACTAATGAATTTAACTTGACCGGCGCACAAAAGAAGTGATTTAACTTAATCTATGCGGTTCAACTATTTCTTGCTATTCACCAACATTAATATTTAATCTTTAAAAAAAATGAAGAAAAAACCTTTGAGTTTATCTCCTGGTGAAACTGGTTCTTCGTCCTCTAAATGAATCCGGTAAATATCTCCGAAAATTGAAAAATGTGATCTGAGCAAAATAAAATCTTTAAACGCAAAATATTTCTAGAAACCGATTTTTAGATTTCATTTTTATGACATTTTATAAAGCTTAAAGATTTGACTTCCCTGACATCGGTTTCAGTTTTAAACCGACTGATATTCTTAAACCTTAGTTTGAACTTGCCCAACTGGTTCTCCTAAAATAAACACAATATTTGTACATCAAAAAAACTGTTTTTATTTTCTCATGAAAAATGTCCTTGTCTCTCTCACCTTAAAATCTTCCAGATCTAATTTTAACTCCTCCTCTTTTGTATCTGCAGCATTGTCGGCCTTTTGATAATCCACAGAAATCGTTTGCGCATTTTCAGCTGATGAACTTCGCGGTTTTTCACTCAAAATTTCCATTTCATCAGTTTCATTTTCAGAGGAATTCCTCTCCTCAGATTTTGTTTTTCTTGTATCTTGTCGACTACTTCTAGCTTCATTTTCTCGTAGATCATTTTCACGCTCATTTTTTCCGACATCGGTTGGGGTTTGTTTAGCACTATCCTCTGATTTACTCCGTCTGAAAGAGGGCTGTGGGAAGGTTGAATGGAGAAGAGTAAACCTTGTTTTATCAACAGGGACGGATAAAAGACTCTTAATCGTACTTTCAAAATATTCAACCTAAACGAGAAACTCAATTACTTTCATACATTTCTACATTTATAAAAATGTTGTCTAGACTTTAAACAGAGTTTATTTATTTATTTATTTATTTATTTATTTAAAGAAAATTGCTTGAGATATTTGTGTTTGCCATGTAATACCAATTACATTCAGTTCTCAAATCGTACAATTTTTTCAAAACATACCCTGATAAAATTTAGAAATCTGATAAATGATTTTGTTGTTCCATGTTTTCCTAGATCCGCGACAAGATCCTCAGAATCTGAAAAAAAAAATTTTTACAAAAAATTTGACCCCAGGAGTCATAGCACATGTGTCTTTAGGATCCTGGAAGAAATAGTTTCGGAATTTTTGGTATTTTAGAGGAAACTTTAAAATATTATAAAAATATTATTGATCCTGATCCTTTTATATAACAGATCCAAGATTATTTTTTTCTCATATGATCCGTTGCCGCAGCCATATCAAAAAATGGAGTTTTTCAAAATGTGTTTATTAAAGTTAAAATTGAGGAACATTGCTTTTCACAGTGCTAACATTTCACTTTAATGTGGATCCGGATCCGGATTCAACATTTTTCGCTAATTTTATGCTACAATACAATACAATACAATACAATACAATACAATACAATACAATACAATACAATACAATACAATACAATACAATACAATACAATACAATACAATACAATACAATTTAATGAACCATTCAGAGATTTGATTTAGTTTTAAAAGCAAAAAAAAATGTCAAAGGGTTTGGGTTTATGTTTTACCCCTTAAATACAAATCAGTGAATCCGTATGTTTTTGCTGATCCGGGTTCCGAAGGCGAAAGTTGTTAACCCGGATCCGGATCCTAAGCAATGGTTTTGTCTATACCCGACCTTCTACGTCCTCACAGCCGTCGTCTTCATCACTAATAAGTTTAAGAAAAAGGGAATTCTGCGGCAAATTTTTGATTTCTCTAAAACAAAAACAAGTATTACAAATTTGAAATAATTTTATTCCACAAAACAGCTAACCATTGCTAACTGATGCATGAAAATTTATGAAAAAATGTATATTTGATATTTCAAACAATTAATTAGACCTTTCATTTCTCCTTAATTTGGTGTCTTAAGTGAAATAAAAAGGAGCATATTATATAACAAACTTACACAAGTATTATACTTTTAAGTGCATCTCTTTCCTCCAACAAGAGTTCTTCAAGAGTTCCATCCGAAGCTTTCTAAAATAAAAATTAACTTAGCAGGAAAAAATGTGGCAACCAGCTGGTGGCGTTACTATAGGAAAAAAATTAATTTTATAATCTTCGACACTCTGGGTTCTCTCAAAAAATCAGCCAAGTTGGTCTAGTCTTTTGCTTTAACGAACAAATATGAATATATTTATACATGAGGAACTTTACTGTGAATAAAAAGATGTTAATGAGACAAAATGTTAGTTTTAATCTTCAACCTTCCTTAATACCTCCTTTATTCTGGACTCCAGCACTTTATATTCTTTGATCCGATGTTTTAAATATTTCTGTGGATTTAACTCTTTCGTACTGAAACATTAATATACAGTTAATACTTAGAGATAGGAAGGTAGGTAGGTAGGTAGATAGGTTGGTAGGGTAGGATAGTAGTTAGGATAGGAAGGTAGGTAGGATAGGAAGGTAGGTAGGATAGAAAGGTAGATTGGATAGAAAGGTAGGTAAGTAGGTAGGTACGCAGGTAGGCAGGTAGATAAGTGGGTAGGTAGGTAGGTAGGTAGGTAGGCAGGCAGGTAGGTAGGTAGGTAGGTAGGTAGGTAGGTAGGTAGGTAGGTAGGTAGGTAGGTAGGTAGGTAGGTAGGTAGGTAGGTAGTAGGTAGGTAGGTAGGCAGGTAGGTAGGTAGGTAGGTAGGTAGGTAGGTAGGTAGGTAGGTAGGTAGGTAGGTAGGTAGGTAGGTAGGTAGGTAGGCAGGTAGGTATGTAGATTGTAGATAGCTGATAGATAGATTCACGAGCATGATTCTTTTTACTACCTTAGGATTCGAATAGTTTTAGTTTCCTCATATTCATCTGAACTGCTTTCACACTTGATTTCAGTTTTAATTTTCTTTAGTTTTTCGTTTAGCACTCCCTCCGTTTTATAATTTTCAACCGATCTCTTTCTTTTCCCCACTGTTTCTTTTACTCCTGTTAACCATTGTCTACCGGGCGGGAAAGGGTGCCTTGGGTGGGCCGGATCCGGATCGGCATAATGTGTGTGCTGGGGATTCTTAAACAGAGTAGGAGGTGGGACAGCTGGGTTAAACTCAGAAGGCACTAATACACATTATTAATTAAAAAAAAACTTAGCTAACAACTTATTTATGCAAAGAATGAGTTCATCTCATTCTTTTTTGCGTGGATTTAATGATATTTGGCCAAAAAGAAAGTTCACTATATTTTCCCAGCTCTGTTCAATATAAAATAATGTTTTATTTATAAATCAATACCTTTCATATGAAGTAAGTCATCAGGATTTTGTAAAAAGTTCTCCCCGGAATTTCCAGGATTCTTAAAAATGCATTTTTTTTCAAAACGCATGTTTTTTTTTCTTTGTAAATAGTTTAGTGAATAACGTCAGTTTTCAAACTTTAAAAAAGAAATTCAAATAAGAACTTTGCCTTTGAATGGATTTTAACGTGTTTGTCTTTTATATTTGACAGATTTGAGATTGGTTAAATTTATAAATTCTATTTTGTGCGGGGAGTTTAACTTTTTTGAGAGTAGAGAAAGAATTCTAAAACCCAAAAAGCTGTGATCATTAACCGCGAAAATAAATTTCCAAGATTCCCCCCTATTAGAAAACTTACATTTGTGACTTAGACGTAATTTTAAAGCGACTCTTCAATCGTACAGTGACGCTTCCGATTCACAATGATACCCTTTAAACCTTTCTTCGATTAAGGACGAATTTATTAGCTAAAAATTATTAATTTTTAATTGAAGTTGTACTATTAAAGTGACATGCGAAATTATGATTCAGAAACAAGGAAATAAACAATTGTAAAAAAAATCCACTTTATTTTCCTTAATGTAACACTAAGACAAAGGTGTACCCTTGTGAATAAGACAACCCACTCTTTTTTTAAATACGAGTAAATGAATAACTCTATGCGATAATCTGTGATCATCTTATGTACTACTCCATGTATCGCTTAGACCCAATATAGACTTGAATAATAAAAATTCTTTTCTTAAAACGAGGGTCACTTGAAATAAAATCTGAAGTTCCTTTAAAATGTCAGTCTCTCAGAATTATTAAATTATTGATTATTACCTCATTATAATGGCCCTTTTCAATTGTTTCTCTGTTATTGCTCCACATTTTCCCGTTTCTTCTTAAATTGTGTTGAGTTGGCATTCTGTAAGAGTAATGTTCAATTCCACGGATCTTCCATCCACTCCTTTCATCAATCCAATCTTGGTTGTAACTTCTGCCCCCGGAGCCTCTGCCATGTCTCCAGGACGAATTCCCCTGATTTGCGCCATATCCAGATCTAAAAGATCCTTTTGGATAATTGGTGTTTTGTCTGCATCCGGAGTTATGGTGATCTTTTCTGTTATTTCCTCTGTTCGCCATTTAATAACTCTAATAACAACAAATTTCACAACATGAAACCACAAATAAATGTTTGCAGGGTGAGTTAATAAAAAATAAATAAACTTTCTTTATTGGGGGCCTGGGGGCGTGGGGGGCATCCAAAAACCGTTCTCTAGGAATATACCACAGTCTGCAGACTTTAACTAAAAGTTAATTGACATTTTAAATTTATATTGAACAGGAGCTAGGCTCGAGAGATAATTTTAACTTTGAATCCTGTTAGATCAAAAGTATAGAATTGTTGAGCGGATCAACAGATGAAAAGATTATTCAAACATGGTTAATTTAGTAATCACAAGTCTATTTTCGTATCAGTTTGTTTGATTATCTTTTCACCTTTGCGCACTTATTGTAATCAACGCGGCAAGGATTTACAAGTACATTTTTGTCGTCTTTGATGTTTTAGCAAATCAACAAATCAAAAAAGTTAAATGGAATTGGGACGATGGTGTATTTTTGGACCTACGCCCATCCCCTCTACTGCCCATCCGACCTACAATCACGTGGTTTTAACAGCTGTGGTAGGTCCGATGCACTGTAGGTCGGATGGGCACGTAAAAAACAGCATATTGGTGCATCCGACCTACAAGCTGTCGCTTGGACACGTTAGTATGGTCTGATGGGCCTTTTTCGTAGGTCAGATGGGCATTTTTCGTAGGTCGGATGGGCACTTTTCGTAGGTCGGATGGGCATTTTTCGTAGGTCGGATGGGCACTTTTTGTAGGTCGGATGGGCATTTTTCGTAGGTCGGATGGGCACTTTTCGTAGGTCGGATGGGCATCCTCTAGCGGTCAACATATCGTCTCGTCCCCCAAAGTACGTGAACTACACGACCACTATATCTAAGAGAGAACTGGCTCCGGAAAATGTAGTAATCCGAATTAATCTACACAGACTTTAACACATCTGCCACTCTCCCTTTCCCTCCGAAGATTACTGTGATTATAACAGAGACCATAGAAAAATAGTCCACAACCGTCAAGAACTGATGGTTTCTCTCACTACCAAGATTAGAGAATCAAACTGCTCCGATACACATCCAATCATTCTGACACGTCTTGCACCTTGTTTTCATACATGGGGAATAAGAACGAAGAAATCTTCTCACTTTACAGGGGCGCTACGACATCTGCTCTATTTCCATTTGCTTTATGGCCATTTGCTCTAGTTCCATTTGATCTATCAAGTCATTTGCTCTATACGTCATTTGCTCTATATTCAATCTGCTCTATATACCTCATTTGCTCTATGACTTAACACGTCATTTGCTCTATAACCTAAAAATACACTACAAAATAGCTTTTTTTGGAATTCCTGAGCGTAACTTGACTATGAAATGCGGGATTTTTTTTGGAAAATTCGCAAATTGCCGTTTTAATCAGTTCTTCAAAGTTCATCATGACAGAGCATGACTGCTCAATAATAAGAGGGGTAAAAAAACCTAATATGTGGTGAAAACTATATTTAGCTTGGTCTCACAATATGCACAAATACCAGACAAACAAAATTATCTCCAGGAAGTTGGTGGAATAATGAAACTGTAGGAACAACTGTAAAATGTAAAATTGTAAAAATATAGTTTTAATATGATTAGATGTTTGTAAAATATGTTTATAGAGCAAATGACGTGATTACTCATAGAGCAAATGTTGAGTAGAGCAATTGGACCATCACAGTCATAAAAATGTGTATAGAGCAAATGACGTGTTATGTCGTAGATCAATTGACGTATATTATGAGCAGATGACATATCGAGCAAACGTCGTGATCTATGAGCTATAGAGCAAATGGAACTAGAGCAAATGGCCATAGAGCAAATGGAAATAGAGCAGATGTCGTAGCGCCCTTTACAGGACCAAGGACACTAATGGAAGGATCGTTAACTCACAGAATGGGTCAATGGAGAGAGACCAAGCCGAAAGACATGTTGCGTTTGGAAGATATAGCTAGGATGAGGGAGGGAGTCCAGAGTTCCTCAAATAGTAATCACCGCCACCCAAATCTGTTTCGCGGCAAGCGCGCTTCTCAATTGGTAATCTCCACCACCTCAAATAGTAATCACCGTAAAATTTTGTTTTATGTGATTTGAATTTAATGCACTTATAACACAATTTTCGACATCTATCGGGGTTATATGGCATCTGTATTGACTTAAACTAAATTTTCAAATTATTTTCAGATTTGTTTGGTCAACAAAAACTGAGAATCAAGGCACAGTTCATTTTAGCCGAATCTTAGATCCAATTCGCCACTTTAATGACTGCATTTCATGATTGGCGTCAAGATACAAAAAAGGTCGGGCTGCCTGTTTACTAAAAA